ACCCATAAAATCTTAATAATCGTAACTACTGTCCTGAAGAATAGGTAGCGAATAAATTTACCAAACTACGCCTGCTGATGTGCGTATAAAAGAGAAGCGTGCTGAAATATTTGCTTGCACATCGCAAACTGAAAAGTTTAAAAGTACGACCAAATGTCATGGAAAATCCTGTTTCCTTGAAAAATTAACAAAGGTAATCCCACTAAGTCAACAGACAATGTTTCTCGCGTACAAAATCTTAGTAAAAATGCAATTGTCTACAATATTTGAATAAGTTAAAATACCATACTTGTTTGACGATTGTGCTTACGAACATTTAGCCCTACCACCCGAAGGTAAGATTTCATGCATACGTTTAATTGGTGATTGCATAAATAAGTCTGTGCATAAAAATTATTGGAAAGACACTAGACTAGTCTCGTTAGCGGAGTAGAAGAAGACACATTTTAATAATAATACAACGCTAGTAGTTAATAGGGTTTTAGGCTAGCTAGTTTATTATCCATAGGAACTGTTTTTCACGTAGCATTGAGGTAATGCGTTTAAATTTGTAGTTCAAAATGTCCTGTAGACAGTTGGGATTTTAATTGTGATACTTTTTTAAATCTGTGTTAATTTAGTTATTAGTTTACTAAGCACCTTGGTATTTTAGGATTTTAGTTATGCATCGTTGTGAACAAGGAATTTTTGTTCCCGAAACTAGTAAAGTGTTGGAATTTTCCAACACATACTTGAATACAAATGGCGTTTCCTTTCCGGTTACTGTAGTAACTCAATACCAGTGCTCTAATAATTCAACAGAGATAACAATTTTCACAGTTGCCATTATTTACCATATTTTGCACCAACCTGTGTTCATATATTGTAGATGCACATGTTCCGATAGCCTTGACAAAGCTGCACCTTAATGAATATTTAAAAACAAATAACCATTATCATAGTATTAACGTTGTAGATCCTAATAGACTGGATAATGACGAAGGGGACGAACTTTGCTTTGAGCACGTATCTCGCCAAATGATCAATATTTTACATGCACATTAGATTAATTGAAGAAAAATTGCGAATATTCTATTCGCATTACTCGCAAAACTTTGCTCTCCTGTGACATTGCATTTAAAGAATTCATTCTGTAGATCGTAATACAGTTCTTTCACGGCACCATATTTAAAACTTTAATAATATTTTCTCTATAGGTCTTAATTAGTATATGTTAAATAGCTGCCGATATGTGTGCCTAGCCAAACGAATAATAAGTAAAATATAAAGCGTACCCGTCAAAGGTCTAAGAAGTAGAGGTTAAACAAAAATATTATCAGAAACATAGCAACCATCCTTGTTATATTTGGGATGGATCACGGTAGCGTATATATCGCCGGGAACATCAGCTTAATCAGTGTATAATAAGAACCAGATTTGGCGCAAATTATTTGCAACGTTTAATTGTAATGAAACGGCTTTTCACGGTACTTTGCATTTTGGTTAATTTTGTCAGACGGACTGTAACTGAAGCCGATTAACATTGTATTTCCCTCTTGATAAGTGATTGTTAGATGTTTGATAATAGTATAAAAATTTTGAATCAAATTTTGTGCGGTGTTCTAGTACACTGGACATCTATTTTACAGTTTCGGCGAATAAACTTATTCTCTGAGTTCCTAGTTGCCTAATTTAGACTAAGTGCACTGATATGCAATTCAGCTTCCGTAGACCAATTGAAACTAAGGGAATCATGACAAGTATAAGGTTTGACTTTAACCTCAAAGTCAGAAATATTACCGCTTGTAGAATAATTTTTCAATGTGGGCCTACGAAATCGAGGTTAACCGGACAAATAACCAAATTTATAATTAGAATTAAGAATAATTTTTCCTTTTTTGAACATAGCTGATGCACAGGGTTGCATTAATATGTATGTTTCATTTTTCGTTTGAATCACTTGGCAGCAAAAGCAACCATTATAAGCGAAGGCAAGTAGTTACAATTACTTGATATGCTTCGATTAAAATAGGATTACCACAGCAGGAAATTTTAACTAGCACAACTAATTTTAAACATATTCCATTTACTCATTATCAACCCTGTAACGAATTTTCAGCTCAAAAGCTCAGTAGATATAGTACGTTAAATTCGATGTTTCCTGTCACACAAACAAACGTTTATTTGAGTAAATTAATGTGGTTTTTGCCTTAATATATCCGTCGCAACTCTTTTCTCTTATACAGCTTAACTGAAATGTTGCGCTATTTACTGTAAATACTGCGCAGTGGAACTCAGCAAATTGGCAAACGTGAGTGCTTAGTTATAAGCGAAGTCACAAAGGTAGTCCACAAGTTAGGAAGATAGTAATCAGCTTATTTTTGGAGAACAAAACGTGATAGGGGTCACATTTTTACGTACTGCAAAGAGTGCATGGAATACGAGTGCTGACAAGGCTCCGACCTGAATTTAACCACCTTGCCATTTGTCTGTATTAAGACAATGTCAGGCTTTTGCTGATCGAATTACGCTTGTGTACGGAACAACGATCGGCCAGCTCATGAAAGGCGAAGTACGAGCAAGTTCAGGGGACGCTGGTATGGCCCGAACAACCTACATGATCAAAAGAGAGTAAAATTTAAAGTCGACACAGGAGAAATGAAACGCTGGGTGAACACCGCACTTCTAGTACCATGGTATAAATGTGAAAACAAGTTCGGGAAGTGACAGGTGTAAGACAGCAGACGCCGAACTCTACTCGTAAACTGGAAACACAACCAAAACGGGATAGTAGGGAATGGCCAACTGGCGCGATGGATGAGACGAGGCAAAGCATTGCAAGCTTTGCGGATCTAGCAGATAATGCATCACGAGAGGCATCTGGTAACGTGCCTAGGCCCAGAACAACAGTGAAGTTATTTGTAGTGAAGGCGAAGCGCACAGGACTAAACGCGGCCGGGATGCAGTCACGGGAAGACAATTCATTTGCTTAGAACGAATTTCGACTGACCAGATTTGGATATAGCAAAGCGGAGGTACGGGATAAAACTTATAAAGATGGTTCCAAACCAGAAGCTCGTAGGCACATGGAATGGCCCGTGACACAAATCATCATGCGCTTTGCGTCGTGGGAAGGAAGCACGGTTCATATCTGTAAGGGTGTGTGATTTGTCGGTTGCCTGTTGTTGTGACAGTAAACGCTCTGCCGCTCTCGTGCATCGTTATTGCAACAATTACTTACCCAGTTGATAATGTTCTTCTATTCCAAAACCCCCGTGTAAATATAGGATGAAAGTGACTCATACTAATTCGTTAGTCTCTGATATTACATTAATTAATCGCCATATGTCAATAAAATTGTTCAAAATTTTGTACTTATTTGTATGTAGAATAGAGTGGGGTAGCATACCCACGGCGCGTAAGAAGCCCACCCAATTACTGTTTCCATTGTGATCCATATACCACTCCAAATTGTAACGGCCGTTTCATATTAATCTTCCTTATTGTATACATAAAAATGAGCTACCGTATTCCTTTCTTACTAGCAAATTGACTCTTTAACGTATATTACTTAATTTGCATATACTTTTTGGCCTGGCAATTATGCCTTTCTGAATCTGAATATATAACACGTAATTTGCTATTATATTTTACAAAAAATGCGCAATCAAATAAAGACGAATGTGATCCTTTGTCATTTTTTACTTTCACATAGCAGGTACTAAAGTTAATTTAGTTTGCATTGCACCCAGATGTTTTATTTCTTTTTAGGCTTCTACTTCTTATTAAAACGTTTTTAATTACGGCCAACCCAGATGGACTCGAGTGTATGTGCGGAACAATAAGAGAGGAGAATATAGCACACAAAACCTGAAGTTAGCACTAGGGAACTTGACGAGTGACATTCCTTTGAAAAAACTTGCTAAGAGTTCAACGCTGACCGACGAAGTATAAGGCAGGAGCGAGACAATGAACTAATTGCATGTTCACTGTTTTTTCTGTATTTCAGTACTTTGCACCTGGGTATGTATTCCTGGGTCGCTTTAGAATAGAACTTCAGCCGAAGGTGGAAGAGGCACATTGTCATAAGTTAAAGGCTATGGCAGCCCTAATGTTTGTTTACAAGACCATAGATATTCGACGTCTTGCGTGTAATCTCGAAACAAGGAACTACCTCATCGATTCAGCAATGAGACTAAATCTGCTGGCCGAAGTTGGCTAGAAGCTTTTCTAATACGATGTCCTTTTAGTTCCCTTAGAAGTCCTGAGGCAGCCGGCCTTTCACATGCAACGGAACTTAACAAGGCAAAAGTGCACAGGTTTTACGATTGCGCACTTTGTTGAGATCTCACTCATTTACAGGAAGTGGGAAATGGAATACGGATGAAACTGGTTTTCCGTCAGTTCCAAGGACAATGAAAAGTTTGGCTCGAAAAGGAAAACGTACCATAGGAAACTCGATAAGTTCTGAAAGGGGAAACATATGGCAGTCACTTTTCCTTTTAACGTGATGGAAACATACATATCGCCAATATTTATATTCCCGAGGAAACGGTGGGATCCCAACCCGGCGGAAGGGAGCACTTGCAGAGTCCACTGGTTCAGCTCAGATATTATATTGTCCGATGCAGAGCACTTCATAAAAAGACTCAACATGTCATTCCTGACATTAAACCATCGGGGAAAGAACTTGCTTTGTTACTACTGGATGGCCACCGGTCACCAGGCACTAGCTGCTGTAGAAATGGCGTCTGCTAACTAAGTTATCATGAGGATATTGAACCAAATATCCTTGTGATTTACGTTTTCAAGAACTTGAAGTGGTCATTTAATAACTTTGTTTATCCGTGGATGCTAAAACATCCTAGTCAAAGAATTTCGTTTTTTGATTTGGCCTCAGTAGTTGAACAAGCTTTTAACTATTCAGCCACCATAGCTAATGCTACCAACCTATACGGTTCTCTGCCGTGTATAGTAGTGCATTGTCTAATGCGGACCTTTGCTACCATTTTATCACGGTCATGTACGATGTAGTGATTGTTGGTGCTGGCATTGCTGGCCTCGGTGCTGTTCAGGTAATCACCAGGGATTCTCACAGTGTTATTATCTTTGAAGCTCGGTCCCGCTCCGGTAGACGTATTCATTCTGTTCGAATTCCATCTACGTCTGTTGACTTCCCGGCCTCTCCTGCTTCCTCATCCGTAAATCATGATAACCTCAGTGTTTTTCACACCGTTTGGAACTCCCAGCGCACAAGCATTCCAGACGGCTCATCTAACTTTCAGCTTCCACCGGAGCAACCTACACATTCCGCTCCTCGAGTATTTGAAACAAGTGGCGATTGTGTGTCTCCCGCGTCTTTCACGGATCACATGGGACCGGTCGACGTTGATCTCGGTGCGAACTACCTCATCGGATGCTCTAATCGGCAAACAGATCAGCCCTTGTTTCATATGGCTAGGATGTTGAGAGTGCCCACTGCCACATTTGTGGGTGACCTGTGCAAAAATTGTCGTGGTTGCGAGTGTGCTGAGTTCTCCACACTCAGGGCCATCGGAAATCCGGTGCCCCAATCATCCCCCTGGTACCGTTGTCGAGGTGGTTTTTCTGTTCAACAAAGTCATCCACTTGACGGTATATAAGCACCTAAAGTGAAAATCAAAGTTATCCAAAAAGGTAGATCAACCGTATCATTTCGGTGAATACGGGGTCAAAGAGCCTACTGCAAAGGAATTGATAGAATAATCACTCCAGTCAATATTGCATTCCGAGGCCAGTTTTAGCCTTCGCCCCTACCGGGTTTTCAGAGACGGAGTTGAATCGAGCGTAATTCATTCCAAGGGCCTGGAGTCATGCGAGTTTTGGCCGATAAGTCCATTGATTTTAACCGGAGTGCTTTCATTGCTGCCCAGTTTAATGGGTCACAGGATATTTGTGTCGATCAAGTCATCCTTGTGTCATTGATTTCAACCACCTCTCAAGTGTACTCCGCAACAAGTGATGCTGTTGCTGAATATCGTATTAGCACTCCAACCTCAATATCCATAAGTCCTGACCACATGAATTCATCTTCAGTCACGATCTCATCTGCCTACTGTACATCTTCTCCTTCAACGTCATTTGACCTTCAAATTCGCCAGTCTTCTCGTAATACCATGCGATCAGTGTTGACTAAAATTTAGAAAATTGAAGGCATATGTGCCACTCCAAACGTATTCTTCTCAAGCAGTCAAAATGAAGGTCACAACGGTGAAAATTCCGAGGTAACAAAAGCGTCCCTATTTATAAGTTCATTGCAACAAAAGCGAAGCAGCAGCAGCTGGGGACAAGATGAAAGACAGAAATTAAAGAAGTCAAAACCGTCCTCTTCATCATTTGAGTCCGATGAATAGACCCGTTTGGTCTGCGGAAATTAATTCGTTCGGCACCGACCTGGTGAAAACGGATTCGCATGCGTGTGTGCCAAATGGGGACCCACGAAGATTGCACTCCAGGAGTTCTAAACTCTATGGGTGCTACACTCGTGAACCAGGCGCTAATTATTAAATCTTTGTTTTTCTTCAACGTAGCTGAGCATTCCGAACTATAAAATTTGTGCCTTCTAAATTTAAAGTCTCTCAACCTTGAATTTTTAAGTGAGAATCTAGCTGTGCCCTTATGTGAAGGCACTGACTGTACGTTATATGTTATTTCCCTATCTTCAATAGTTATTTGCATATCTGTGGTTGCGTGATTAAGCAGTCAGCGAGGGAGGGTGTCAAGAAGCCCACCAGTGGGTGTCTTCCCACACATAGTTGGACTTTTATTTAAGGTGCTGACTAAGATGCCCACGCATAAAGAAAAAGTATTTTTATATTAATTGTTTCAACCGCTAAAATATTGGCTACCGTAAATAACTATGGTATGCTAACAGTGCGCCAGAGTGACCAAGGTATGCATTTCACAAATCTTGCAAATGAAGCCAAATTGATTTGCATAAATCCTTACGAGGCTACTCCTAACACACTTTTCCCCTATCCTTGCTCTGCGTGAAAAGTTGGCGCAACAAGTGAGTCTATGTCACCATCTAATTTGTATGCAATTGTTCTCTAAATGAAACAGCAAAAATAAATATGGGAGGTGCTAACGTTTTACAAGTCGTGCCATGCTTTTGCTCGTGTTTTCAGCAACGAAATTAAGGAAAATTCCTTAGCTTCTTTTGATTATTGTTGTCCCAATACGGGAATTTTATTAATCACATAACACGAATTGACATTGTATTTAATTTGTCGATTTACGAGAATTGAGTATCCTACCTTCTAAGTCTGGGTGATGCTACAAACCCATGAAACCTTGCGCAGTGTACATCATAGCTTACTTTATGCTCCATATGCTCCGATATATATAACTTCATGGTATAAAACGCAAACAGCCACGTAGGGAGATAGTGTTGACAAAGAAACGTACCTGAAAATGAGAATATTGCATACTGAATAGGGAGATGACATAGCGAGTAGAGATCCTTTTATGTATCTACGTCTAATATCTTTTAAACAAATCTCCCTGATATAATGGTAATTATTCACGAAACCTAAACTTCGTCCAAGTGTGAATCCAGGAGATTTTCAGACTTCGGCACAGTCTTTACTCCGACCATGTCTGCAGGAAGATTGTTCCAATTATTCATCACTCTGCACTCGAAGCAGTTGGTGAGCGACCCAAATCAAATCTGGTACAACAAGCTTGTACCGGTGTCCTGGTGTGCTGATTGGTGGGTGCAGTTGCATTGGCGGCCTCAATATGGGGTAACCACACAGATATAACATCCGTAGAATCATGATAACACAGATGTACAACCCTAGTCTCCTGCACCTGTCTTAATAATACACACCTCGTAAACCGGGGATGACATAAGCTTCTGGAAGAAATCTGCATATCACGTACATTTCAAGTTCAGTAGGGTCAGAAAGGATGTTGCCTGACAGACTGTATGTCTTATATAATTATTGTCGTGCAACATTACATTATTTAATCCGCAATAAATGTGCTGGAATTGCTCGAATGATTATCATCAGCACGCCTGTATCATATCGCAGGAAAGCGTATTGTAGCTTTATGTGTGAGAATATTGTGCCATGGATATGCTTATGTACATAACTTAATTAAAACGGAAAACGTAACTTGAAAAACGCCAAGTTGATATGCGGAAACGTGTATATGCATGGTTGTGAATACTTTTCCCTTAATATAACCGATGCCTTTCAGATTTTGAGGAAGATCCAAGTAAGATGTTTGCCTTTCTTTATACTACTGTGTTTAATCTGTGCAACCGAGAAGGATTTAAACATCCGGTGTGATTTCGTTTATGGTAAATTTATATTATTTTTGATAGCAGATCCCACCTGGAGCAATCTTTCGATTACAGGTACTGAGCCATCAGATGACATACCGCCAATGTCCAGGGTCCCGCTTCGTCCCTACCATTCCCTTTTTGGGGAGCGTTCGTTCAAACCAAAGCATTGCACTCCATGGCACTGTTATAACCGCGTCGTACATTTTGTGCGATGCAGCCAACTTTAATTCACGTATCTGCTTAAATTTAAAATTCTGCATTGTGATAATGAGTAGTGTGAAACCTTTAGTTCCATTGGAACTTAATCACTGATTCAAACGCCCATAGATTAGACAGCAATGTCATTGCGCGGCATTTGGGTCAGACAAATTTTAGGTAAATTTGTTAATACGCCTGTATGATTTACTTAGTTAAAGCTGACAATTAAATTATGCTGCTATGTAATAACGATAAGCAGCAAAACCATATGGAAAGCAATTAAAGTAGTCAAAATTGACTACATAGAAAGTACAAGTTGTCTTGCCAAATTTTTGTACGAATAGTGACAATCGGTGTGCACGGTATTTGCAAAATCTTAATGTTATGTATAGCATAGATTTTCGGGATCTTAAGCGAACAAGTTTCGTAATGCTAAGCTGGAAGAAAATTTCTTATATGCTGACAAAATTTAAATATACGGAAAGCGACATTAAGGTAAATACATTAAATTTACCGGTACGCAGAAACCATTTATTAATTTCTGAGCAATGGAAGCAGAACTTCGTAAACCAATTTTAAGTGCGATCGGAGCTTGATACTGCATCTGCTGTTTGCTCTAGGCCCACTTAGGAATGGTTGAGCTGCGGGATTTTATGCAAAATCTTCAAGGGTTTGATTTAAGCAATGAGTGATACTCCGATTTGCATTATGAAATCATGCAGGGAGTTCAAGGCTGTCTCTATTTTTCAGACGACAGAATGATTATTGATGGTAAGCAAACTCACTTTTTGAGCTCAAATTCCATTTCATAAACACAATTCCACAGTAAACTCTTCACATACTATAATGTAATTTTTGCAAGCTAACCATTACAAACGTCTGCGTGAGAAATGAAATAGTTGTTTTGTGACGCGCCGCTGAGCGCTGATAACAAAAGAAACGCCTCAAATGGGGCTAGTTGCTACACTAATTTAACTGTTTCCGGTTGTGACCGATTCATCACAACGTCCCTCTTAATCATGTTTCAGTTGGTGTCTGAAATATTGGTTGTGCAAAATCAGGACGGTTAAAGTTTCATATACTGTGCGATGAGTCAGATACCTACGGTGTTCAAATGGATGCACATTCTGCTTTTTCCCTCTTATTCTCGACAAAATTTTGGAGTCGCAAACCCAAATATGAATCTTTTCATTAAGTCCCGATCTCCATTTTGAACGGCTTACTGTAGCAGATCAACATCAGATTCCTGACTCCGTTTGAAAGTGAACTTTCAACTACTTGGTATACGCAACAATTTTCGTACGGCTATTAGTGTGGAAAAAAGATAGAAACTGCATCGACTTCTACTGGAAGACGCAGGACAGCGACAGTTTTATGATTTGGACTTTCAACTATGCACTTACTCGAAAAAGCATTCTGTGGTCCCGATACTACATTGGTTTACCAAATGAATGTGTTTACTGCAAGAAACAATTTCCCTCGTATGCATGTGAATCTTAGAAAGAACACATTGCATAATTATACGTGCGGTACAAAAGTGTGAGAATTAGTTTATTCCTCAAAGAAAGATCAGAGGCTCCATGCTCGCTCAGCTAAATTCATTCTAGAATCGTTAGCAAGCGCATACTTCATGAGGTGTTGCAGGATGATGCGTGCGCATTAAGGTGGGATCGAGCTTGTGAGTTGGCCAGAATGCAGAGTGAAATTTCGCTGCAATCGAAACAGTTCTGTTCTGCCGAATCAGCTGTAGTGGCAAAAGTGCAATCCTTCTGAGAATTGCCATTAGAAAAGACTTGTTCTTGCACTTGGAAGTGCTTCTCAAAAAGCCATTTTGCCACAAGTCTCACACGCTGCATAAGGTGAAAAATCGATGGAAATAACGGGCACTACGCATGATGTTTCTGTAACAAACTATTTCTCTTATCAACAAGCATGCTACGCCTGAAATTCATGTTGCTGTTTTAGCTTAGCAAGCAAGTCGTCCACCACCACTAACGCTAACACTTCGTGGTCACTAACCATATGCAGTATTAAAGCAAAGTTTTCATCCGCTGATTTTCTACTGCAATTCTTTACTAGCAGAGGCGCTGTTCCACTTGAAAGTGAACTACA